CAAGAAGCAGTAAAATGCTTCTCCTCCACCTCCACTGCCTTCTCTTCTCCCTTCTCCTCCTCCACCTTCCACTTCAAATTCACATCAACATCATCATCATCATCATCATCATCATCATCATCATCATCCAGGAGCCTTCTACATACACACCTGAAAGTAAGTGAACTTTTCTACCTTTTTTGTTGAATTTAGGCAATTTTCGGTGAGCTGGAACCAATTACCCAAAAGCCCATTGAAACAATGGTTTCGGTTAACAAGATTTTCGGTTAACGAGCAACCTGCTGGAACGGATTGTGCTTGTTAACCGAGGGGCCACTGTATTCAAAATAATGTACTAAATGATTACTAAAATTTTTGTCTCGTGCAAACTATAACATGTTTATATCCAAATTAATCACTATCTTATAAGAATTCCAGCAATGTAAATTATATTCTCCTCAGTTACTTCTGTGACATTTTACAAGCATAAAAGAAAAACTCAACCTTAAGGACATAAATAAACAAATAAATACTTCACTAGACCTTCGGCGCCAACTATCAAGCATGTCACTGTCACCTCCCCTTCCTCCCTTCCCCCCCCAACCCAGTTTTTATCTTATATAATATCACAGACTAAAGTTAGCAGAATATAATTTGCATTGCTGGAATCCTTGCAAGACAGCGAATAATTTGATTATAAACGTTATGTATTTTACACATGAGATAATAATTTTTTCTCTTTGTATGTCTAATGCGAGCTATTGCATGTTTATATTCAAATTAATCACTATCTTATAAGAATTCCAGCAATATTAATTATATTCTCCCCGATCAGTTCAGTGACATTTTATAAGAGAAACACTTTAAGTCACTCTTAAGTACAGGTAAATAAATAAGCACTAGACCTTGGCATCAACTGTCAAACATATCACCTCACCTCCCTCCCTCTCCCCCATCTTCCCTGCCAGTAAACAGACCATTTTGCATCCCTTAATTTTAGCTGTGTTGATTTATGAGTGTTTGTTTTAACATAATACTACAGAAAACAATGTTTTGTTTATTTTAGGAGATGGGCTGAGGTGCATCTGGGTAGACTGTCAGTCCTTTTAGTATTTTGTGTTTCTCTCAAGAACCAAACTAAATTATTCCATTGAAACAACACTTCGATTTAGTGCGAATTCGGTTTAAAGCGACCTCTCTTGGAACATATCTCATATTATATCCACGTTCTACTGCACAGTGTAATTGTAATAAACAAAAATAGATAAACAATAATTATCATTCTGCACTTAAAATGACAAAATAGTTATGGTACCTGTACATAAATTGGTGATGTTCACCTGTAAAGAAGAAAAAATAACTGTACAGTAAATGAAATAATAAAATAAATATGCTTAGGAGGCATAAGGGTAAATAACAAGTGAAATATTACAGAAACACTTGAAATATCGAGGAATGCACCAAATTCCATGAGGACCAGATGTAAACAAAGGGTATGCCAAACCATGGATACTAGCGCCGGTGGGTACTAGCGGCTGTCCGGCAAACTAAAATTTTGCTGGACGACGGGAGGTGCCGGATAATAGAGTACCGGGTTAGGGAGCTTCAACCTGTATAAAACTATAAAATAATATGAAGAGCATAGTTGTGTAGTATTCTGTATGGGAGATGATCGTCAGTGTGGAAGCAGTGAAAAATTTGTCAATAGCGCATCTGGCGATGGCTAGTTAAGCCTATGTCAGTCTAAATGCCACAATACAACCACCTATACTGTATGAATATCTGAACATTCACCATTCATCCTGGATCTTCTTGCTATGATGACAATGATGATTAGTATAGCCCCCATATAATGAAGGGCATGACAATATAATAAACATGAAATAAAACAATTAAATAAACATAAACATGAAATAACAAATACTGTGTACTGTACTAAGGTGTTGACTTCTCTTGATCCCTGGCAACTCTCCCCCTGCCTCATGACCCCTTGCCAACTCTTCTCTTGCCATAGGTAAGGTGAATGATGTTTATGATGATGTTGATGAAGATGATGACTATGAAGTTGATGTTGGTGATGAAGATGATGGCGGTGATGATGCTTGGTGATGATGTTCACTGCCCCTCACCCTCGTCTGCCTCAACAGGGGAGGCAGGGATGGCAGGGGAGAGTGGTGGGGAGGAGAGAGCTTGGGAGTCGTCCTCATATTCAGAGGACAAGTTAAAAAGTGGAGGGCGTTAGAGTGATACAATAGCCGGGCGTTGGAGTGATACAATAGCAGTGGAAGGGGTGACAGGAGATGCAGGGGTGGCTGGAGTGGCAGAAGATTGAGTTGAAGCTGGTGTTTTGGGAACTCTGAAGAAGAATAGTGTGATGGGGAGCTGAGATCTCTGGAGCTTTAGATATTTGTAGATTGCATTGAGTGGTGCTAGTACTTGGTCCACACCCATTTATCTTCAGTGCTCGGTCTAGAGATGAGTCTAATTCCAGAAGTGCTTCTTTTCCTTGCTTGAAGAATGTAAAAAAAAAAATTTTCTCATGTCTAAATGTTTTCCTCTAAATCAACTGGACCAAGATCTCGTTCCTGATCATCTTGCTCTTCTTCTTTTAGTAAAGAGGCCAGTTCTTCATTTGTTAACTCTTCTCCGGTGTTTCTAAGCAGCTCTTCTCTAATTTCTTCTGGTTGCATGTCACCAAATCCCTCTCCACTTGCACAATGCATGTGATCAGGGGTTCCACTGAGGGGAAACCAGTGAAATCATTCACTGCTTCAGGCCATAGGGCCTTCCAACAGAGTTCACACACTTGCTAGTGATTTCATCTTGGCTCGGTTTAACATTTGCTATGCAGTCAGCAATGGTGTAATTTTTCCACATCACTTTCACCCTCACCTAGCCATCTTCTTCCAGTGCCTTGAGGATCATGGACAACTGCGAGCGAGGTGATATGAATTGAAAACAGCAATTATTCCTTGGTCAAGAAGCTGAATCAGAGAAGCTGTGTTCTTTGGGAGACAGATTTTTTTTTTAATGGCAATCTGTGAGTTCCAAGGGATGCAAGCTTTAAAACCACAGCAATACCTACACTTCCTGTGTCTGAGAAAGGTTGACCATATTATACCATAAGTATGGATTTCCTGGGTCACGGTCATTTTTCTTCAACATAATGCCGGGGTGAGCACCTCCCCTAAAATATGCCTGCCTCCCCGTACAAATATTGAGTGAAGAGGAAAGAATGAAGTTGAACCCTGGAAGATTATAAGACTAACCTAAGGATCATACAAGATACAAAGTTGTTTCAGTGACATCCAATTTCTTCTGTCTTCTGTACAGGAGGTTCAAATCTGGGCTTCCATTTACATCATTTAGGTTTATTGTTACTTTTGAGAAGATTTAATTATCTTCAGATTAGTCCCAACTACTTATGTGAAGATTTCATGTGACATAAACTGACAGCTTTGTGGGTGTACTGTACATACATAAGCCACCTACTCAAGGGAAGGTGGCTAAACATTCCCTGAACACGTATTATATTTAAGCACACACCAGTTTTGTTCAAACTCCAAGCCTGACCCCAATTAGGCAAGGAAAACAAACCATCAAAAGGCAGGCTGGATTACTCACTGCAAAATCAGATGTATCTTGTCAGCCTGGGTGATGTTGGTTCCCAGTCAAGCCATGAGTTGTAGCCAAATAGGATTATTAGCAAACCTAAATCAACACTCACAATTAAATAATCTTTCAAAAAATTCCAACATTGAGGAATGTGCAGATCAGCCAAATCATTTTATATCATGCTTCAATAATAAGACACAAGCAAATTTCAGCAAAAACTGCAGAGTAAACAGCAGGTCCACCCACTCAGTATGAGGCATGGCTGTAAAGGAATTGGGAGTGAACCCAAGAAGATTTGTATGTAAGTGATCACCTGACTTATTTTATAAAATTAGAGCTTACCTTACCTCGTACTTCAAGTGTTAAGAGTTAACCTTTAAGGTAGTAGGGAGTAGGCTGCTACCAAACAGGGAGGTACTACTGCCTGGGAAGATATTGTAAGCATAATGTGTTGTCTAGTGGTAGACCCTGCTACCATATGGCATCACAAAAATTGTGACCAAGTCCCAGGTTGCTCATCTGACTTTCTGCCTCATTCACACACAATTGCGGGGTCTCAATTGTTTCTCTTACTTTGGCAACACAACAAACATACTGTATATCGTTTCTCACTCTTGATTTTTTTTTTCGTATTTTTATTATTATTATTATTATTATTATTATTATTATTATTATTATTATTATTATTATTATTATTATTATTATTATTATTATTATTATTATTATTATTATTATTATTATTATTATTATATTTTCGCCCCCCAGGCCCTGATGTGGGCCAGTGACCTGTGCCCGGGTGGGCTAATGCCTGTAAAAAAAAAAAAAAAAACGACAGCAGGTGTTAAGAGCTCACCTGACCTACATTAAAATGCTAGAGCTCACCTGACCTCCTACATCAAATGTTCAAGCATTAGAGTTCACCTGACCTACATCAAGCATTAGAGCTCACCTGACCGACATCAAGTGTTAGAACTCACCTGAGTGACATCAAGTGTTAGAGATCACCTGACCTCCTAAATCAAGTGTTAGAGTTCACCTGACATACATTAACTGTTAGAACTCATCTGACTGACATCAAGTGTTAGAGATCACCTGACCTACATCAAGTGTTAGAGTTCACCTGACTTACATCAAGTGTTAGAGCTCACCTGACTTCCTACATCAAGTATTAAAACTCACCTGATATACATCAAGTTAGTAATAATTGTGATCAAATGTTGGAAACCTAAGATATACATATAACACAGTTCTCTAGTTCAAAATAAATATGTACAACCACTGTACTACAAAATACTCAAGACACATTTAGACTTAAGGCTAACTCCTAATTATTAGTCCTTAGGATGGGATTTTAGGACAGAGGATTAGGGTAAGTTAAAGGGGATGACATGTTAATTATCACTCACCAGCCGCCCCAGGGGAGAGAGACCCAGCATGAGGCGATGAGTGAGTTGGGGAGAGAGTAGGAACCATAGAATGGACTGGTGTGTCCAGGAGACTTGTATTCTCACCACAAGACCCATCAGATTTTTTCCCATTTGATCCACAACTAAGGCTTGATCTGGGACGTGTGTAGCTCACAGCACCTGGTATTAAGGACGAATTTCCTTCATTGTTGGCTTCTCCATAAGATCCTCCTCCACTGTTGTTTTCTAGATTTACATTTGATGATCCTCTTGCATTACGCTTTGCCAAATATGCAGCAATCATCTGAGGTCTGTAAAATACAGTTGCTTAGAATACATTATATTATTTACCATAAAACATAATACAATAGGTCCTTCATCTATGTTCTTTCTACAGTCGGCCCTTCACATACGCGGGTTTAGCATTCACGGATTCGCAAATACGTAGATTGCCCCGCCGGAGGAATATTCTGTACATTGAAGTAATTGAAGTACATTCAAATCGCGCGCCATTCAACTCGCGCGAGGCACCGAACACTGGACACCGCCCGCTCCCGCAACCTCACACACACACACACGCGCATAGCGTGTCGTCACCCCACCCCGCCACTCCGCGCTCCCTCACTCAGTCAGTCTCGCTGTAACTACACTTGTGTTAACATCAGAATTGTAGTTGCTACCCTTGCTACCCACATTTACCATGGCCCCTAAAAGAGCATCAAAGACACCAGCTGGAGCCACCCCTAAGTGCCAGAAGAAAGTGATGACTCTGCAGGAGAAGGTGGAGTTGTTGAATAAGTCAAGGGAGGGAATGTCGTTCGCTGCTGTGGGGCGACTGTACAACGTGAATGAAAGCACGGTACGTACCATCAAGAAAAGGGAAAAAGATATCTGTGATGCTGTAAGTGCCAGTGCTCCACGCAGTGCTAAGCATGTCAGCCAAGTGAGGGAGAAGGCAATGGTGAAGATGGAGAATGCCTTGTTTCTGTGGATAGAGGACCAGCATCGGAAAGGTGTAGTAGTGGACTCTATCCTTATCCAGGAGAAAGCTAAGTCTCTACACACACGCTTCACGCCTGCAGCTGAGGAACCCGTACCCAGTACCAGTGCTGCTACCCCCACAACCTGAGACACCTCCGACACCATTCCAAGCCAGCAAGGGGTGGTTTGACAATTTCAAGCGTCGATTCGGCCTGAAGAATGTGAAGATGACTGGGGAGGGTGCGTCAGCAGACACCATGGCCGCGAAAGCTTTCCCAGCAGAGTTGAAAGCAATACTCGAGGAGCAGGGATACAAGCCAGAGCAAGTTTGGAATATGGATGAAACAGGTAAGACAATAAATTACTACAGTACATTTAACCTTAAAAATGTTCAAATACCTGTTGTACTGTACGTACTGTATTGTGTTGTAAGAGAAAACGGGATAAATGCGTCTGATATTTATACAGTAACTTTTATATTTATATTCCGTAGTGATTTACCATACAGTGTGCTGTAATATTTTTATATTTTTATAATGATTTTGATACTGTATATGTATAATAGTACAGGGTGTACTATTTTCTTTTCCAAAAGGTTTGTTCTGAAAAAAGATGCCACAGCGCACTTTCATCGCCCAAGAAGAACGCCGTGCACCAGGATTCAAGGCAGCCAAGGACAGGTGCACCGTGCTATTTTGTGGCAATGCTGCGGGTCACCTCATTCACCCAGGCTTCATATACAAGTCTAAGAAACCGCGTGCATTCCAAAGCCGCGACATGAGCATGCTGCCTGTTTTCTGGATGCACAATATGAAGGCCTGAACAACGAGCGAACTGTTTCTCAACTGGTTCCACCATTGTTTCCTGACAGAGGTTGAACGTTACCTGCACCAGAAAGGATTTGAGTTCAAGATCCTGCTAATCCTCGAAAATGCTCCCGGTTCATCCAGAGTCAGTGGAGGTGTTGCATGAAAAGGTACAGGTGTTGTTCCTTCCACCCAACACCACTGCCAGGACATGGCAGAGGACGAGATTAGGGAGCTAATTGAAGAGCACGACACTGAGCTGACCGAGGAGGATCTACAGAAGTTAGTAGACTCAGGCAAGGAAGAGGAAGCGCAAGGGAAAGAGGAAGAGGAAGAGCAACAAGAAATAACGTTGGAGAAGGTGGGGGATATGACCAGGAATATTGAGGCACTGATAAACATGGCCTATAGTATGGACCCCTCCATGGTGCATGCACTGAAATTCATGCGAGGGATGGATGACGTTTTTGCTCCATACAAAAACATCATGGAAGAAATGAAAAGAAAGAGACGACAACTCCCCATCACCATGTTCTTTGATCGCCGAAGGAGAGATTTAACACCATCAATCACTGGCAGCAGTGAGGAAGCAGCTGAATCCACGGTCGCCCCCACTTCACCACCCGTTATGGAATTGAGTGACGATGAACCCGATGACCCCCGTCCTGTCGCCGAGGATAGATACGGTACAGTAAAGTGAAATTTTTATCTCTTTTTTTATAGCTTTTCTTACTATGTTTATTGTTTGTAAAAATGCACAGCACAGTACAGTTCAGTGCTGTACATAGGAAGTGGAGGTGCAGTTATTCACAAAACATTTGTGTTTGTTGTCGGCAGCAGTGACGATGTGGAGGCGGAGAGATAGAGCGGGTAGAAGTGGTGACGCTGGAGGCGGGAGCAGGGACGGGGACAAGTGGAGATGCCAGCCAGTACAGTCGGCCCTTCACATACGCGGGTTTAGCATTCACGGATTCGCAAATACGCGGATTGCCCCGCCGGAGGAATAATCTGTACATTGAAGTAATTGAAGTACATTCAAATCGCGCGCCATTCAACTCGCGCACGACACCGAACACGGGACACTGCCCGCTCCCGCAACCTCTCACACACGCATAGCGCGTCACGCCACCCCGCTCTCTCACTCAGTCTCGCTGTAACCACGCTTGTGTTGACATCAGAATTGTAGTTGCTACGCTTGCTACCCACATTTACCATGGCCCCTAAACGAGCATCAAAGACACCAGCTGGAGCCACCCCTAAGCGCCAGAAGAAAGTGATGACTCTGCAGGAGAAGGTGGAGTTGTTGAATAAGTTAAGGGAGGGAATGTCGTTCGCTGCTGTGGGGCGACTGTACAACGTGAATGAAAGCACCGTACGTACCATCAAGAAAAAGGAAAAAGATATCTGTGATGCTGTAAGTGCCAGTGCTCCACGCAGTACTAAGCATGTCAGCCAAGTGAGGGAGAAGGCAATGGTGAAGATGGAGAATGCCTTGTTTTTGTGGATAGAGGACCAGCATCGGAAAGGTGTAGTAGTGGACTCTATCCTTATCCAGGAGAAAGCTAAGTCTCTACACACACGCTTCACGCCTGCAGCTAAGGAACCCGTACCCAGTACCAGTGCTGCTACCCCCACACCCGAGACACCTCAGACACCTCCGACACCTTTCCAAGCCAGCAAGGGGTGGTTTGACAATTTCAAGCATCGATTTGGCCTGAAGAATGTGAAGATGACTGGGGAGGGTGCGTCAGCAGACACCATGGCTGCAAAAACTTTCCCAGCAGAGTTGAAAGCAATACTCGAGGAGCAGGGTTACAAGCCAGAACAAGTTTGGAATATGGACGAAACAGGTAAGACAATAAATTACTACTGTACATTTAACCTTAAAAATGCTCAAATACCTGTTGTACTGTACGTACTGTATTGTGTTGTAAGAGAAAACGGGATAAATGCGTCTGAGTTTTATACAGTAGCTTTTATATTTTTATTCCGTAGTGATTTACCATACAGTGTGGTGTAATATTTTTATACCAATTTTGATACCGTATACTGTATGTATAATAGTACAGGGTGTACTACGAGTATTTTCTTTTCCAACAGGTTTGTTCTGGAAAAAGACGCCACAGCGCACTTTCACCGCCAAAGAAGAACGCCGTGCACCAGGATTCAAGGCAGCCAAGGAGAGGTGCACCGTGCTATTTTGTGGCAATGCTGCGGGTCACCTCATTCGCCCAGGCTTCATATACAAGTCTAAGAAACCGCGTGCATTCAAACACCGCGACATGAGCTTGCTGCCTGTTTTCTGGATGTACAATAAGAAGGCCTGGACAACGAGCGACCTGTTTCTCAACTGGTTCCACCATTGTTTCCTGCCAGAGGTCGAACGCTACCTGCACCAGAAAGGATTGGAGTTCAAGATCCTGCTAATCCTCGACAATGCTCCTGGTCATCCACAGTCAGTGGAGGTGCTGCATGAAAAGGTACAGGTGTTGTTCCTTCCACCCAACACCACTGCACTTATCCAGCCAATGGACCAGGGAGTTATCAAGACGTTCAAGGCTAACTACAGTAAACGTGTGATGGCCAGACTGCACTCAGCCTTAGACCATGATCAAAACCTGGATGTGCTTCAGTACTGGAAGAACTTCAACATTGCCGACTGCTTATCTTTGGTGGCTCAATCTTTCAAGGATGTGAAGCCTGAGACAGTGAATGCCTGCTGGAAATCACTGTGGCCTGAATGTGTGAAAGATTTCACTGGATTTTCTCCTGATGAAGCCATCGCAGAGGCGGTGAAAAAGACCCTGGCACTGTCGAGGAAAGTGGCTGTTGAAGGCTTCCAGGACATGGCAGAGGACGAGATTAGGGAGCTAATAAAGAACACGACATTGAGCTGACCGAGGAGGATCTACAGGAGTTAGTAGACTCAGGCGAGGAAGAGGAAGCGAAAGGGAAAGAGGATGAGGAAGAGCACCAAGAAATAACGTTGGAGAAGTTGGGGGAGATGACCAGGATGATTGAGGCACTGAAAAACCTGGCCTATGGTATGGACCCCTCCATGGTGCGTGCCCTGAAATTCATGCGAGGGATGGATGATGCTTTTGTTCTATACAAAAACATCATGGAAGAAATGAAAAGAAAGAGACGACAACTCCCCATCACCATGTTCTTTGGTTACCGAAGGAGAGATTCAACACCATCAATCGCTGGCGGCAGTGAGGAAGCAGCTGGATCCACAGTCGCCCCCACTTCACCACCTATTATGGAATTGAGTGACGATGAGCCCGATGAGCCCCGCCCTGTCGCCGAGGAGAGGTACGGTACAGTAAAGTGAAATTCTTATCTCTTTTTTTTAATAGCTTTTCTTGCCATGTTTATTGTTTGTAAAAATGCATAGCACAGTACAGTTCAGTACAAGTACTGTACATAAGAAGTGGAGGTGCAGTTATTCACAAAACATTTGTGTTTGTTGTCGGCAGTAGTGACGGAGCAGAGAGCGGAGGGAGCGAGTTGGGAGGAGTGGTGAGGTGACCTTGGACGCAGGAGCAGGGACGAGTGGAGATGCCAGCCAGTACATTACGGGTGTATTAATTGTTTTTATAGCTATTTTTGCATTTTAATATTAAATACTGTACATTACGTTTCAACAAAACTACCATTTATTTCTGAGAACATAGAAATGTAATATTTTTGCTGAAATGATGTACGTATTACAGTGGAAAGTGGGATAAAATTGTGACACAAGCAATGACTCTTTCTCTTTCTTTCGTTCAAAAGATGTTGCCGTAATCGTTTTTCGAATGGTTTTCAGTTGTGGGATTATAAGGCTAATGATAGGATAGAATATTATTGTAATACAGTACGAGTACAGTACAACAGTTTTTTTTACTGAAAACCATTCGAAAAGCGATTACAGTAAAATCTTTTGAACAACGAAAGAAAGCGAAAGTCATTGTTTTCATAATTTTATCCCACTTTCCACTGTACAGTAATATGTACGTCATTTCAGCCAAAATATTACATTTCCATATTTATTTCTGAGAATATATTCATTCAGTCACAGTTAAGGTAAAATATACTTGTGATGTAATATTTTAATGAAAATACGGTATCGTAGTTTTCTTTTGTACCAAATTTAATTAACAAAGATTGATGTTTCAAATGAAATGAACAAAAATTTATGTACAGTATCTATAAGTAAACTTTAAAAAATGAATACTTTATGTTTTACATCATCCTGTGCATACCATACCATGCATTTGGCTACTTTGGGCTTGCTATGATGACGCAAGAGATTTGCCCTGGCGACTGTACCGACACTCACAGCTGATGGCGCGTTGGTGCGTCATTTCCATTGTTTACTGGTAGTTACTGGTAAATATTTTTCAACCTAACGAAACTATTACCCGTTTAGAGGTCGACCCCCAATTTTTGCCAAATAATTTGGTCTTAAAAACTCGAACTACACACAGGTATATACGGTAAATAAGGATATGGGGGGCAGGGGATTTTTTAGGGGGGGGGGGGGCAGCAATAGTACACGGATTTTTAACATTCACGAGTATCTCTGTTACCTAATCCCGCGTATGTTAAGGGCCGACTGTATCTCTATTGTTTTGCTCGAATGTTGCTAATGAATGAAGGAACATGAAATTTAATCTGCACTGATTCAATACAACACTCACTAAATACAGAGAAATGAAAAAAAAGTGTGAACTATAAGTAAAGTATATTCTCGATTTAATGAACTAATTAGAGCCACCCCTGTTCGTTAGATAAAAATTTCCACTAAATTGAGCTTTCCACCACACAGTCTGTGTACTGCCGCCACCGCATGTGTTGTTCACTGCTACCTCTCTGTCAACTAGGTATACACTGGAGCACCTTAACTTTGGTCTTTATTCAAGACATCTTCAGAGACAACTGAATTAGCAGGGATGGTGACGTAACTGCTAATCTAATACAGTATAGTCTCGATTTACGCAGATTTGGTTTACGCGTTTGGTCATTTATGCGGCACCTTGCCAGACCGACAATTTTTATTTACACGGTTCATTCCATCAATTACTCGGGAAGCAGCGCGGGCAGGGTGCACACAAGGTCGCCCAGTCAACAAAACATTACCAAGTTCTTCACCCGCCACCCACCACAGCCGGCCCAAGTCAGTGATAGTGAGGATATGGACTTATATGGACTTTGAGGGGTTTGACAAAGAGGCCCTGCAAGCCTCTGTGGTGGATAGTGATACAAGTGATACAGGTGAGGGCCAATGATCTGCCCTCTGCCTCGTAACCAACCCCCCATCCCCGTGTGCCCAGCCATCTTTTCTACTAACGTAAGTGTTAAAAAACCTAATATTATTGATAATTCTCTTAAATATTAATTGTGTGTGCATACCATCATAAAATTAAGATGTTATTTTCACTACAACGTACGTATTGTGTCTCAAAAAGTGTAGTTTGGGGGTCGGCCCAGTCTCTATTTCAATTAATCCCATATGTTCTGTTATTTCGTTTACGCGTTTCTCGTTTTACGCGGACCTCCACGGGTTCAATTGACCGCGTAAATGAAGACTATACTGTATGTTGAATAGCAGAATGAGAGAAATAATGTAAGAAATTTAGTTAGGGAGTTATATATATGTTGTATTTAATTTAGCTTATATTTAGTTGAAAGATTGTTTAATATTTACCTGATTGGAAATAATTACTCCTCATTTAAATACTGGTAATAGTTTTGTGCGAATCTACATTGGTCTGCGAGTGCATCCTACCAGATACCGTTGAATGTCAAATTACCTGCCATCGTCCGTCAGTTCCTTCACGATCCCAACCAGAGAAACACAACACTCACCACTTTCAATAAAAACCGGCGATCATGGAAGGGCTCACCAACTAAGCTCAACCATTAATTCCTGACCTCCATCCACATCAGAAAGCCTTGAGTATCAATTTATATTGTAGGATATCCTAACTTTATACCCACTAATCCCTACCCAAGAAAAAGTGACCTGACATTCCATCTTTCTTCAATTGGTTGATATCAGGACAAGAAATATTTACATTACACTATACCAGGGGTTCTCAACCAGGGGGGAATTCCCCCCAGTGGGGGAATTCAGGTTTTCAGGGGGGATGTATATGTACTAATATGGAAAAAATAAAGGATTTTCAGTATTATATGCATATTATTTGGAATGCACTTTTTGAGGCAGACAATCTTGGAAAGGAGGGGGGGAATGACATTCTGACATATGGTGAAAGTGGTGCATGGGACAAACAAGGTCGAGAACCACTGCACTATACCGTATATCTCGGCCTACAAGGCAACGCGGTGTATAAGACGGCCCCCCAAATTTCCATTTAAAAAGTAGCTTTTGAGCCCTATTCGCTGTATAAGACCGGTACCCCAAATGTGACACTTACACCATTGGGAGCTTACTGACCCAGTAGTCCTTTACCAACCATCCCATTGACCAGTGCTGTTTACACATCCTTGGTTTTTTAAAATAAAGCAAATTCACTTCAAGTAATGGCATCAATGTTACCGGTTGGTGTAGTGTAAACACTAGTGACTCACTTAAAAGTCTGTTATTCAACTTGAACTAATGTCGGTGTCGAATACAATTGTTTCATTTACTTGAAATGGATTTACCGATTTATTTGTTTATTTATTTATTTATAATATACTGTAATATATTAAACACAATGCAGGTATTTTCTTTAATTTATAAGCTTGCTTCAACCAGCTACAGTATTCTAATTCAATAGTGTTTCATTAGGATTTGAGTGATAAAGATTACTGTACATACTTACCACATACATTTATTACACAAATATATATATATATATATATATATATATATATATATATATATATATATATATATATATATATATATATATATATATATATATATATATATATATATATATATATATACAGTGGGGTATGCTATAACGAACGTAATTGGTTCCAGAACCTCGTTCGTTTAGCATTCGTTCGTTATAGGATTAATCCGTTCCAGGCCCCCAAATACAACCGCTTAACACTGAAAAAATTCTGTGGAAAATGTAAAAAATACGGTACTTTATCTTACCTTAGTGTTATTCAGCATGCAGGTACCCCTAAACACTGGCACATCACAATCACTTCCACTGGGAGTCTTGGCTTTAAGGTCCTCAAACAATTGTTTAGCCTTCTCACAAATTATAGCTTCACTAATGTTACCACCTGCCATTTCTTTCTCCTTTATCCACACTAAGAGTAAATTTTCCATCTCTTCGATCACATTACACCTTGCTTTGCTAAGTCTAAAGATTCCCTTAGCCACTTGCACAGTTTTTAACTCTTCTTTATTCTTCAAAATCGTACATATAGTCGATTTAGCCATCCCATATTCATCACTATGTTTCGCAATGCTTCTTCCATTCTCACGTTTCTTTATAATTTCTTAATTAGTTTCAAGGGTTATTAGCTTTCTCACTCGCTTTGGACGACTCATTGTTACAATTGTATACTTGTATAACAAAATAGTTATACAAATAACGCGAATTTCCACATCAAAAGACGAAATTTCAACAATAACAGTGGTGCACTGGCTACACAATGAGACAAAGATGGCGCCTGATGCTCTTGTTGTGGGTCGCGGTACAACAATATTCATGCGCCAGGCAAAATAGTCCCGTATTCATCCGCGTTCGTTGTAGGAGTTGCGTTCGTTATAGCATTCTCAATTTTATAGGTAAAACCGTTCGTTATAGGAATATTCGTAGTAGGATCCAATCGTTATAGCATACCCCACTGTATATATATATATATATATATATATATATATATATATATATATATATATATATATATATATATATATATATATATATATATATATATATAT